CCCGATGGTTATGTTTCTAATTTGGGAAGGTGTGTTGATTTAACCGGATGTAGACTGTTCGGAATGAAAAGCCACGATTGTCATGTTTTTATGCAAAGATTGATGCCAATTGCATTTCGTGAGATGTTGCCAAAATATGTGTGGGAAGCATTAATAGAGTTGAGTCTTTTCTTCAAAACATTAACAACAACATCAATCACAACAAAAGACATGGAAAGGATTGATGCCGAGATCCCAATAATTCTATGTAAATTAGAGACCATCTTTGTCCCTGGTATTTTTAACTCCATGGAGCATTTACCAGTACATTTTCCATACGAAGCGAAGATAGCCGGTTCCATCCAATATCGGTGTATATATCCATTTGAAAGGTTTGTATGTTACATCAAAATGTATGTTGCTATTTTTGTAGGCTAACTTAAATCTTATTTACTATAGATATCTAAATCAGTTGAAAAAATATGTGAAAAATAAAGCTCGAGTGGAAGGGTCCGTTGTTAACGTGTACTTGCTTCGTGAAGCATCAATATTTTGCTCTCATAATTTCGAGACTGTTGTCCCCACACGTAATAGAAAGTTGCCTCGAAATGATGATGGAGGAGGAGATGAGCAACCTGATGATAACAACGAAACTTTAGATATATTTTCATATCCTGGTCGTCATTATGGAAGATTCATGAATAGAATGTTGTTTGATGAGGAATTGCATGCTGCCCAAACTTACATACTCCTTAACGAAGATAAGATCAAACATTACATCAGGTAAGTAACATATACTTCACTTTTAATTATAATTAATAATCATTTGTTGTGTAATTGATCTGAATAACATTTACATGCATGATTTTGTTTATTAAATCATAGTAACTTTAAAAATGTTATTTAAATGGTAAGACAAAATATTTGAAGAAGATTTGAATGAACTTATTGGGGGTATGGATGAACAGGAGCTTGCAACTGAAGTTGAGAAGAACTTTGCAGTATGGTTTCAAAACTATGTGGGTGTTAATTTTATATTTTTTAATATTATTATTTTTTGTTATGGTTATAATTAACTCTAATTAAGTGCTTTACCATTTGTCATATAGGCACGTACGATCCGGATAAACAACAAGTATATATCTGACATTTCCAAAATGCAATTCAAAAGAGTGAAATTATATAGTGTATACTTTGTCAATGGTTATAAGTTTCACACAGAAGCTCATGGTTTGAACAAATCAACAATCAATAGCGGATTGTGTGTTAGTAGCCAAGGAGGTGACTATTAAGGTAAGGTAGAGGAAATTTTAGAAGTCGAGTACCCTGGTTACCCAATTAAAACCACAGTTTTGTTTAAATCTCATTGGTACGATCCAACACCTAACATAGGAGTTAAGGTTCACAAACAATATAACTTGGTCGAGATAAACGTCAAAAGAAAATACAACAAGTTCGAGACGTTTGTTTTAGCCATGCAAGCCACTCATGTGTGTTACATTCCTTACCCAAGTTTGAAAACAAACAACTCAGACTGGTGGGCTATATTTAAAGTTAAACCTCGTGGCTGGACTGATGTACGTGAAAATCATCCTCAGAAAGACGTTGATTTCCAAGAAGATGAAGTTGAATCAAATGAAATCATTATACCAACTATAGCCGATACAAACAATTATGATGATCACGACATGTCAAGCAGCGGTTCAGATAATGAAAATCACATTGATGAAGAAGGTGAAATTCATGAGGACAACAATGATGGTATTCCTGACAGCGATGGTAGTTATGAGTATAATACATCGAGCAATGAAGAAGAAGAGGATGAAGAAAAAGAGGAGGAAGAAGATATTGACTAGATGTTTTTGTTTCTTTATAGAAGGATGGTTACATTGTCTCATTTTTAGTTTTTGCATGCGAATTGGTAAATGTGATGTTATGTATTAGTGCCCTTCATGAGAATTAAATAAAATAAAATTTTATCATTTTTTGGTACATTGAAAGCATTTACTAAAAGGAGACATGTGTTTTTGAGATATTTGTATGTACAGTATTTTTATTAAATATCCAATTAAGTAATCGTTTATGTTATAATCCAATTTTTTTACATTAAAATGGTAAAAAATTATTCAAGATAACATAAACATAATTACTGTACAAAAAATTAATTCCTAGCAAAATTGGTAACAAAAGTTGCAACATATAATTGCTCAATACTAAAAAATCCACGAGTTTTATTGCCCTTGCAAATTTCCATAGCTAAATATCTATGAATTTGAACTACTCCTTATCAACGTTGCTATGTAATATAATTTCGTAACAAATATCGTCACAAATTAGCTAGGCTTTTTGTTCCATAGCAAAACAAGGAAAGGAAATCGTATTCCATAGAATTCCCTAGCAAATACCTACGAATGGTACTTCCATAGCAAAGCAACTATGGAATTGGTTTCCGTTGAAAAAGTTTGTTGCATAGTAACCACGATAACTAATTCCATAGCAGCAGTACAACGAAAAGTGATTTCGTAAAAAATTTCGTTGGAAAATTGCTACGAATGTTTTTTCGATAATAATATCGGTAGCATAATACCAACGGACATGGATTCGGTAGCATTTCCCTAGCAAGTCCCATGCTCGCTACCGGAAATAAATTCCATAGACAATGTGGTAGCAACCTTGCTATGGAACGAAATTCCATTGCAGATTAACAACGAAAATACGTTCCACAGCGCCCTTCCCTAGCAAAATCGCAGATGCAAAATCATTTTTTTTGTAGTGAGGAATCCACCATCACAATCACAGATGCAGACTTTCCTTCAATGAATCCAAATGACATTCTTGTCATAGTTGCTCACCTCTGAGATCATCAAAGTAATGAATCAAGCATCCGAGACTACAACTCTGCTATTTGCTTTTTGAAGGACTATATCACTGAATTTTGTCAATCGGATGTGGAGTTTGCTCATCTCTTCAGAACAGACAACTTTTTGGCCAAAATCACTACCGAACTTCCTGAAGCCTAGATCTTAGCTGAAGAACCAATTGAAGAACCAGAATTTGGTTATGTCTACCTCAAGAAGAAGACCAATCAAAAGGAATTTTTCAGAGTGCTTGACAAACATCTCATTCTTACCAAGATTCTTCAAAAGTTCATTGCAAATGCTGCCAAGAGTGATTCTTCCGAGCACATCAAGAAGAAATTTATTAAGCATCTCCAACGGTACATCGAAGTCCGAAGTTGGCTCCAGAGTGCCTACTTGTTTGTGTTTGATGAAGTGAAGTGATAAGTTGGATGATTGCAATGGTCACTTAGGGGGAGATTGTTAGAACATGAAAAGTGACCTCATGCAATCTGAAGTGAAGGAAATCCGAGATGATGAGTTCTGAAATGAAGATCAGTCCGAAGCAGAAGACATATCATGCATCTTAGAGATAAAATGTTTCTAAGTCTGTAATATGCATTTATTGTTCTAAGTATTATTTTGTTCTGTTCTTATTGTTTGATAGCATAGTACATGGGACCAGATCAACAGAAGCGGTTGTGTTAGTCTGTTGATCTTCAGATGTCTTTTAGTCCATGCACTTTATCAGATTTATCTTGTAGTCACTCATTGTCTATTTAAGGAGTTGTAACCTTTGTGTTAAGTACGTATGGGTTCAACATACACCTTTCTCATCAATATCAAGAATCATTCAGTCAATCATTCTCTCCAACATTCTTATTGTTGTTGAATCTCTTTATAGTGCTCATACTTATTATTTATTCACTTTGAGCACTTTGTTGAACTTCTTAATTCCGAGACAAGATTGGTTTACCAGACTTTACTGGATTTTCATTATTAGCAGACATTGATCTTAAGTTAATTCAAGGTTTGAGTTCTCAAACTTTATCCGCACAGATCCTTGCTTTCACAAGTTCTTGATAGAAATCACGTGCTTTTCAATCCTACTCGACTTACTGTACCAGTTGTTCAGTTGTTCCTTTCAAATGGGTACTCGTTCAATTCATAGATTTCATCGTTCTCTGTTGATTAACACATTTGATAAATAACTGGGGGTATTACGAAAATCAAACATTCCAACTTTTGATGAAGTGAAGGATGTGAGTTGGATTGTGGTAGCATGGTGTTCAACGGTGAGGTAGGGAACTACAGAGGCTAATGAAAAGAAGAGTTTAGATGGAAGGTATGAGCTTTAATGGTGGTTAATGGGAGAGAGAGAGAGAGAGAGAGAGAGAGACCTTTTCCATATTATTTTTTTTTTCTTTTTTTAAAAGAGAAAACCTCATAAATGGTCCCTGAAGTAGTGAAATGACGGAAATGCCCTTCACTTAACGGCCAAAAGCTGACGGAGTGAGCAAAAAAGACCAAACATCAAAAGTTTTGAAAACAGAAAAACCATATGAAAAGTTTTTTGAACTTAAAGACTGAACTTCAAATCTTGAAAAAACACAAGGACCAAAAAATAATGTTTTTTCTTAATAAAATAAAAAAAAGCAAGCAATGGATTAACCATTTATTTAGATGATGATAAATCATTCTTATTAGATTTTAAGAAATCATTTTTAATTTATTATAATTTAATTAAAATATATAGTTATTAATTTGTATTTAATTAATAAATATGTAAACATATTTTAGTATTTAGAGTTTTAGATCATATTTACATTTTAACTTTTTTTTTTTTTTTTCGAATAGACATATTCATATTTATATCGATGGCTTAGAGAGATTATAACAACTTTATTAGCACCCATGGAATCATGATACTGGTTTTAAGGGTTAGTAAAAAGGACATTTGTGCGTATAAAGCAAAAGACCACTCGATCTCATCATCACCCTCGCAACCCTGAAGATTTAAAACGCCTCGAGCCCCATGCCCCATCACCATAATCATGGTGATCATTGATCTCCACTGGATAGGACCACTATAGCACTTTATCAATTAGATTCAAAAACCCTTCAACAAAACATTCCAAACTATTTATATCAATCCCCATAAACAAACTTATTTGTACCATCCCCATGTTCCGAAGAGGAGCTATCACCATCTCTGTGTTTGCTAATTCCACCACCATGGTCGGGTGGTGCCGCCCACGCCGCAGGCTGATGAGACGGAAGAGTAGAACAATTAGGTTGGGAAACAAACATCGGAGGCTGTGTCTGAGGTGGCGACCCACAGTGCAGTGGCGGGTGGTGGCATGTCCGTTTGTGATATTGAAGAAGTTCATCATGAAAATGGTGTCCGAAGGTCGGTTTATGGAAGCTTATTATTTATCGCTGCCGATCCTCCGGCCCCAGCTATTCCCTCTGTGTTGATCTTTCGTCCTTTTAATGTATACGTGACTTTCTGCATAACTGTAAATCATGTTTATTTTTTTTAGTATGATTTTTCGTCAAGTGATTTATAAAGTAGTTTCAAAAATATAAAACATAATCGCAAAATTATGTCCTACTAAAAGGTTAATCACTTTTAGTGTTTCCTTCTTGTAGGGTTACAAATGGTAAAGATTGTTAGGAGATAGGATTGTAGTGTGTATGTCAAAAGTGTAAACCAGTTCCTTAAACTAATGAACTTGTAAGAACCCGATTAAAATCACTATCTGAATGGGATATTTGCTTACTCTTTACTACGAAACTATGTTCGTTTTACAAGCTAATTTTATCGCTGGAATCCTTAACTCAAGATTTTAGATTACAACGTTCCTCCGATTCTCTATGTGGCAAAGGCTCAATGCCATTAAGGGCTAAGCAACAGTAGTCCTGCCTCGTGTGTGTTATGTTAAGAGGTGTTGTCCTTTCAACACAAGCAACGACATTCCATTGATTCAAGAGTTGTACTTCATGCATGAATAGTTGTCCTTATTTTATAAAAAAATTAAAACTATTATAACATGTAATTATTTTGGTTTCGGAGCTAAATTTAAATGATACAGAGAATGACATGAATATGAGGTGACAAAAAAAACTATGTGGAGGTGAGGACCTATACTCACGAGCTTAAATCATGTTGTTGCTTAGAATCCAAAGATATTAAAATTAAAAACTACGATAAACACAAATACGATGATAAAGATGTGAATAACAACAAAAGACACACAGATTTAAGGTTGTTAATCACTTTGATTAGAGCTAATCAAACTATTTCCACAAAACAAAGTAGAGATAGATTTTATTTATTGATAGTTTTGAATATATATTTTTTGCATTGATGTTACAATCATGTTCTACTGAGTACATATTTATAGTAGACTTTGATCAAATTTCTTTGAACTAGTGATCATATACCTTCACTGACATAAGTTGTCTCTTGATGACAGACGTGGTTCACGAGTTGATAGGTCAAACCGAAGTTCAGTGTCAAAGACTATTTCTGATCACCGAAGGCCGAAACATGATGTGCACTGAAAGTGAAACTTAAGTGAGCTTCGTTCTCTGCATTTTGCTTTGATGTTTAGCTTCGATGCAAAGTCTTTAGTCTTTGCTTCTAGCTTTATTCGAAGCTCTACTTCCTATATACACTTCTGACTAGACCTCAATTTACAGTTTCGCCGATCCATTCGAAACTTCACTCAAAGCAACATACTCCAAGTGGGTTGTCGAAGCTTGCAACTTGATCACCAAGCCTTGGAATTGTTATATAAATTGGTACAAGATAATTTACTTCAAAGGTGTTGCCTCCTGCCCCCGCAAGGGGTGGTTCCCCTTTGAACCTTGTGAAAAAGAATACGAGTGTGAGTACAAGAAGAGTTCTTCCGTATTTTCATATATTGAATAACTAGATGGATTGTACATTTTATACAGGAAAGAAATACTAAACAATCCTAATATACAACCTTGACTTAAGGAACTACAATTGACCTTCTACAACAACATTTTACACGTAAGTCTTATCTACTCAAGACTTGCTCTCGCCAACACTTCCTCTCAAGGTGGAGAATGTATATCTATCATTCCCAGCTTGCTAAGAGAGCATTGAAATACTCTTCCATAAGCTGCTTTCGTTAGCATATCTGCTAGTTGATCATTAGAGGCGACATGTGGGAGTTCCACAGTTTTCTTTTCAAGATGATCTTTGATAAAAGGCCTATCAATCTCTACATGCTTCGTTCGGTCATGTTGTACTGGATTGTTAGCAATCTTCACAGCAGCTTCGTTGTCACAATAATTTCATTGGAAACTTCTATTCAATTCCCAAGTCTCTTAGGATTCGTTTTATCCATAGTAATTCACATATGTCATGCACCATACCTCTAAACTCAGCCTCTGCAGTTGACCTCGCCACCACCTTTTGTTTTTTTACTTCTCCACGTGACAAGATTTCCACCAATGAATGTAAAGTATCCAGATGTAGATTTTCCATCATAACGATCTCCACCCCAGTCTGCATCTGTGTAACCACACACCCCGTGACCTTTGTTTTTCCCAAAGAATAAACCTTTTCCTGGTGAAGACTTGAGGTACTTTAATATTCGATAAACAACATTCATATGGTCTTCGTGTGGTGATTGCATGAACCGACTAACTACACTTACAACATAGGCAATATCAGGCCTCGTGTGTGACAAATATATAAGTTTTCCAACCAGTTTCTGATATCTTTCTTTATTTGTAGGAACATGGTATGAAAAAATAGATAGTTTATGATTGACTTCGATTGGAGTTTCTACAGGTCGACAATCTAGCATTCCAGTTTCCGTGAGAAGATCAAGTACGTACTTCCTTTGACACATTGAGATTCCAGTTTTCGACCTTGCAACCTCAATCCCTAGAAAATACTTCAGTTGTCCAAGGTCCTTGAGTTCGAATTCTTTTTCTAGTAATGTTTGAAGTTCTTTCATCTCATCAGGGTCATTTCCGGTAATAACCATATCATCCACATACACAATTAAGGTTGTGATCTTATCAGTGTTCTTCACAAACAGAGTGTGGTCGGCATCACTTTGCTTATATCCTATCTTCTTCATAAAACTAGAAAACCGACCAAACCATGCCCTAGGGGATTGTTTTAAACCATACAGAGCCCTTTTTACTCTACACACTTTTCCATTGCAATTTATTCCAGGTGGCGTATCTATATACACTTCTTCTTCTAAATGTCCGTTTAGGAAAGCATTTTTTACATCGAACTGCTTTAGTGGCCAGTCCTCATTTGCAGCGATAGATACTAGAATTCTAATTGTGTTCATCTTCGCTACAAGTGCAAATGTGTCTCCATAATCAATTCTATACTTCTGTGTATATCCCTTTGCTACTAGCCTCGCTTTATACCGATCTATGTTCCCTTTTTCATCTAGTTTCACTGTGTAAATCCACCTACACCCCACTGTTTTCTTCCCAGGAGGCAGCTCCACAAGATCCCATGTTTGGTTTTTCTGCAAGGCTTCCATCTCATTATTCATGGTTGTTTTCCATTTTGAATCTTTCATGGATTCTTGTACACTATTAGGAATGGAAACACTGGACAGTTCTTTCACTAGCAATGCGTGTGAGCTTGCTAGACGATGTGATGATATGAATTTGTTGATTGGATACTTCGACTTTGCTTTGATGTCTGGTTCGTACTGTTTCTTTGGTATTCCCCGGTTGATTCTAGTCGGTAGCCTTGGTTCTACTCTTGCTTCGGGTACCTGCAAAGTATCATCAAAGAAAGTTTCTGAATTGTTAGTCAATTCCTGAGTTTCTTCCTCCATTTCTTGGTATACAGATTCTGTTGTGACATCAGTTGTACTATCTTGTAATACTCTTTCTTCTTCTTCAACTGTTTCAGCCTCATACGGTTCATCTTCCATTGTCTCGTGATCATCTATGTGGGATTCATTTTTAGGATTGATGTCAAGACTCACGTTTTTACCTTCAGTTGGTGATTCTCCAGGAATATCAATATTAAACTCACTTAATCTTATTTGGTGATGTGTATTCGCTTCATCTCTTGTCTCCCCCTGACGCGGAGACTCATCTCCAAAATAAGATTCCGATTCATGGAATGCAACATCTCGAGTAACATACATTTTATCGTTTGTGGGGTCATAACATCTATAACCCTTTTTTTGATCTGCATATCCAATGAACATGCATTTGACTGCTCGTGGTTCAAGTTTACCCACATTTTTATGAACGTATGCCCTACACCCAAACACTCGAGGTTCAAGACCATTACTTTCAGGTAGGTTTGTGAGTTCTTGCATTTTTTGTAATGGGGTTTTGAATTCAATAACACTTGAGGGAGTTCTATTCATCAAGTAGGCTGCAGATCGTACAGATTCTCCCCAATATTTTCGTGGTACCTTCATGTCGAACAATGAAGCCCTTACGATTTCAAGTATTTGTCTGTTCCTTCTTTCTGCTAGGTCGTTTTGTTGGGGTGATCTTGCACAAGAGGTTTGATGTCTGATATTATTTTCTCTACAGAACTGTTTCATTCTATTGTTTACGTATTCACCACCATTATCTGATTGTAACACATGGATTTCCTTTCTATACAATGTTTTGACCGTGTGATGTAGTTCTTGAAATGCCTGGTAAACTTCATCTTTGGTTTTTAGGAGGGATATCCAGATCATATTTGTGTGTTCATCAATAAAAGTCACGAAATATTGAGCACCATTCGGTGTAGGGACTTTAGCTGGTCCCCATACATCAGAGTGAATCACCATAAAAGGAACATTGGTTTTATTATTACTTGGAATATATGAGATTCGCTTGCTTTTGGCTAACTCACACACTTCACAATTGAACTCATTTTCCATTACATTCAAAAACAAATTTGGTTTTAACTTCCTAAGATAAGTAAATGATAAATGTCCTAGTCTCTGGTGCCACAGCCATGCCACAGACTTATTCGCTTGCCTAATTCCGGTATTGAGAGCTTGACTTCTATGATTCTCTTCAAGACAGTACAACCATCCCCGTCTAGTACCATATCCAAGAATCCGATGAGTCACAATATCCTAAAATACACAGTCGTTTGGCCAAAAAATCACATAACAATTCAAAGCCTCAGTAATTTGACTAACAGATAACAAGTTCGAGGATAGGGATGGAACTACGAGAACTGTATCAAGGTCCATTGATCTTGACAAATTTACCGGACCTTCACCCTGTTACAGGTGCCATACCTCCATCTGCTGTATGTACTTTAGGCTGTTTTGGAATATATGACTTTATTAATTTCGATGAATCATTGACCATATGATCGGTTGCCCCTGTATCTATTATCCACGTATCATTCTGAGTAAGGTTGGTTTGAGAAATACCGGTTTTTGTGGATGTGTGAGCAGCCACTGGGATGTTTGGTTCATTAGTTTGAGGTGTGCTGGCTACAGTTGCTTGACTGATCTTCTTTCGTGGTTTCTTTGTGAAGTCCCACCAGTCTGGGTAACCAATAATCTCATAGCATCTAAGCTTTTAGTGTCCCTCTTCCCCCACAATGTGTGCATGATAGTGTGTTATTTTTGTTGTTCGAATTCCTTCCCTTTTGGGGACGATTTCTGGTGGCTAAATGGACCATACTATCAGGTTCAGGTTTTTGTTCCTCCATGGTTTGTCTCTGAATTTGATCTTTTCTGATATAGGCATAACAAGACTCCAGACTTAGTGGCGGATCTTTTCTAAGTACTTCACTTCGAGCTTGATTGAATTCAGGGTCCAGGCCTGCCAAGAAGATATGGACCCGGAACCGGTATATGGTTTTGTTCACTGATACGGTGTCTTCCACAGACTCTTCTTGCGTGGTTAGACGAGTATCAATTTCTTGAAAGATGCTTACCAACTCATTGTAGTATGTTGATAGCGCACGTCCAGACTGTCGAGTATTGAACGATCTCCTGTTTAATTCGAACAGTTGAGTTTCATCAGACCCATCGTAGAAGGTTTTTGCGACTGCTTCCCATATTTCTGCTGCTGTTTGGAGGCGAATAAATCGGCGGATGAGCGTCGGGGACATTGAGTCAATCAGCCAGCTTTTGACCTTATTGTTATCAATCAGCCATGTTTCAATCTCCTTTTCACCCACTGTAGGCTTCGGTGTTTTTCCGGTGAGGTAACCAGATTTGTTTTGTGCTCCAATCCTCATCTCCATTAGCTGTGACCATAAGGGGTAATTTGTGTCATCGAGAATGACTCCACCAGTGGGAAACGGTGCATCTTGTACGTTATGAACGATGACCTGTGAGGGATTTGATGGTCCTCCTTTGTCACTCATTCTTCAAGGCTTCAATAAATTGGCTTCAAAAAATACGGTAAAAGGTATGCTCTGATACCATGTGAAAAAGAATACGAGTGTGAGTAGAAGAAGAGTTCTTCTGTATTTTCATATATTGAATAACTAGATGGATTGTACATTTTATACAGGAAAGAAATACTAAACAATCCTAATATACAGCCTTGACTTTAGGAACTACAATTGACCTTCTACAACAACATTTTACACGTAAGTCTTATCTACTCAAGACTTGCTCTCACCAACAAACCTAACATATGTTTGGTCTTTGTAGCGGTCATACGGTGAAATGAAGAATTACATTCCACAACTCAATAAAATAAAGAAAGAAAATATGATTAAGGACAATCGAGATCTCATTTCAATGACCCTAATTGTTAGAAAAACTATAACAAAGCACAAGTCGCATCTACATTATTATAATTAAATCATAGTTTTAGTTGATTTAGTACAATCTAATCCCGCGTCGACAGCTTTTGGAATCTTGTTGTGTACTTTATTTTAATAGTTATTGTGTCTTGTTAAGAAGGTACAAGTCGGATCTACACCGTTGTCAACGGAATAATGAACATGTATTATGACTATTATCAAAATAATGTTATTAAAAAAAAGTCCAATATAAGTTGTATTAAGGCAAAAATAAATTGAATGCACTTCATAGAATACCAAATAAATAAAGAAAATCTTTGATTTCACATTCAATAAACATGAATATTTATTTGTTATGGTTGTGGAAACAAAATCCAAGAAATTAAGAAGTAAGTTGCAAATAAAGAATGAACAACACAAATTAACCTTATTAAAAACCGATAAGAGAGCACTATAACCGAACTTATTTTCTAATTGGGAACAAACGATCCGTTACTAGACGATTGTTTAATGCCTTTTTATCTAGTACATAGTTGTAATCATGTTGACATGACATTTAGGCTGTGTTTGGCGCGCCACAGCTAGCTTATTTTTCGAGCTTTTTTATGTTGTCGTGTTTGGTAAACCAAAAAGTAGCTTATAAGCTAGCTTATAAACTAGCTTTTTGAAAAGCTACTTAGACTAGCTTTTTAGTAGCTTTTTTAAAATTTTCCAAATACACCCCTTAATTAATTATTGAAACACATACTCTTACATGTCCTTTTATGTAATTTTATATATTTCAACTAGCTTTTCAGCTAGTTTTACCAAACATTATTTTTTATCAGCTAACTTTTTATTTAACATCTAGCTTTTCAGCTATCAACTAACTTTTCAGCTAACAACTAGCTTTTCAGCTAGTACGCCAAACATAGCCTTAATTGTAATTTATAGGTTATCTTGAGACGTTTCGTTTTATTCTTTAAAAAGTGATATAAACACAATGCGTGTGAATGTTACCAAATCACGAATCTTAATTTATAAGTTACTAGGTTATAACACGTATGTTACACGGCTGGAAATAATTATAAAAACTTATATAATAAGAAAGAAAATTTGTTTAGTCATATTTTTGCAAACAATTATATGTAAAATATAACTGATCTATATTGGTAAGTTTATGGCTGTCTTTCTTAATTATTATCTTGGTAAGTTTATGGTTGTCTTTCTTAATTATTATCTGAAATGGTTACAAAAATGAAATAATGTTATATAAATCATTATTAATAAGAAAACTATAAGGATGTAATATGAAACATCTAAAATTTGATATACTAAATATGAAAAAAAAAAACAATTATACATGATATAGAACAATATAAAAAAAGAAACTTAGAATATAACTATTCTCTTTCATGTTAAAATGTAGTGGATGAATTTTAAACAACTTATATAGTATATATAATTTTGGATTTTCTATTATACAAATATAATTTTCTAAATTTTCTCATCTCTTTAAATGAGAGTATAATCCATGTTCTTTGAATCTCAAAAAAAAAGTACTCGCTTAAAATAAAGATAACATACAATTAATTATTTAAAGGTAAACATTTTGTAAGTTTCAAAATTTATATATTTGTGACATTTTGTTAAAGAAGTAATAAGTTAACTAATTGGTAGATATGTTAGCACATAAATGTTTTAATTAATAAAATAAACTAATTACCATCAACTAAAAAAAATAAAATATTTGGATAAAACAATCGTTCAAAAAAATAGGGCCTCTTTTTTAGTCTCTAAAAATGCATAATAATATGTAATGCATATATATGCCGTAATGCCGTATAGATGTTGTACTTAATGTCTAGATAATCGGTTCTTATAAGAGTTTAGAAAAGCCCTCCCACTATGAACGGTTGTATATATCACGTAAATTTTTATATTTTTTGTTTAATGTATTGATTTGGGTACAGTTTTCTTTGGTTCGAGTGTTGCTATATATTACGTTTAAAAAAACATATATCAACAAACCACATAAGCTACAACACCATTCGACAACTACCTATTAATTTATTTGTAATTATGGGTAATTAGTTGTTTAAACTTTTGATTGTTTTCACCCTATAACATATTAGTGATGAATCATAATATTTTTTTTAATTGAGATATTTAGAATGATTTTTTGTTATATAAGAAAAACATATTTAAGATTTAAATTAAAAAAATATAATTTTACAAAATGATGTTAAGGAAAAAAAGAAATGATAATTATTTATCCTTAATTTATGGGATAAAGCATAATTTTTGGCTATTTAAATTTGGAATGTTTAATTAGGTAAAAATAAATTTGAATTCTAATTTGGTATACGATTTATATCAAACGATGAATTGATTTCAGAATATCAAACAAAAAATTCAAAATTCAAATTAGGATTAGATTTTTTTTTTCAAAATTTGAAGGTCAATTAAAATTGTAATCAAAATTATGGGATGCAATTAATAAGAGCGGGAAGAAAAAAGAAACAACTTTAGAAGAGTGTCACATGACAAATCAAAATGTTATTAAAATGACACGTGGTAGAAAGATATTAACACTACTAGGTTATAACCCGTGGGAACCACAGCTACAAAATTACTCACTTCAAATGGTAAAATTTTACATGATAATTTGATGATATAATGATAACATTACTATATAAAAGGTTGATAAATAAATAAATCATACTACATATGGACAATAAACTAATATTATTACCATATTGGTTAAAATGAATAACATATGCAAGAGATATATCATGAGATGATGATGCACTAGACATTTTTTTTTATTGGATTTTCTGTCATCTAAGTATAATTTTCTATTTTTTTCTTCTCTCTCTAGCAACTATGGTATCCATGTTATTGTTCGATATATAATGACAAATAATAACGTAAAGTAAAAAATAAATGAATTAAATTCAAATTAACATACAACATAATTTTATAATCAATGATAAAAAACTCTCATTATTTGTTTAAAAGAGAAAAGAACATTTATGTCGTTTTCTATTAATTTTGCACCTTCTCAATAGAAAAAACATGTCCCTTTTCTATTACGCCCACAACTATCGACAATATAATCAATGTTTGTATAGTAGACGGTTGCAACAACGTGCTTTCATTGATATGTAAATTAGACATTTGAAAAAGTACATTGCCTTTTTTTCCCTTTGAGTAAAAAATAAAAAAGATAATAAACATTATGTTAAAAAAGTTTTACAACAGAAAAGTATGATGCTATAATATGCTAATTAGAAAAATATGTTACTATAATATACTTATAAGACAATAAAAAATGTACATTACCCTTTTTGCCCTGTAAGTAAAAAAATGAAAAAAATTAGACTTTCTGTTATAAAACTCTTATAACAGAAAAGTATGATGCTATAATATGCTAATTAGACATTTACAAAAGTACATTGCTATTTGTGCATTTAAAGGGATGCATAAATAAATGAAAAAAATTTCATGGTAGTTTTGTAAATCTATTTTAATTGCACCAAATCATCCACTATTAGAGGTAAAATAAATGAAAAAATAAACTTCCTTTTATAAAAATGTTACAACAGAAAAGTATGATGTGATAAACAGCCAACAAATACAGTGCATAATTGGTTCGCTTGCATCCCATTTACTCTCCTTTTTGCACAATGTGCTTGTTCTTCTCGTACCGGCCACTCTCAACAACTTTACCAACATATGACTATCAATCAAACAAAGCCAATATATAAATTTTACCATATATTAATCCCTATATTAAATTTTTTTTTTCTATAACTAAATTTTCTACAAAGTGGATTTTGGCTACATTATAAATCTAGATAATCAAATTAAACATTATTACCTCATCTTTTTCTGTGGTTGCATCAATAATCGTTCGCACATCTTCATGCATATCAAAGTGGAAAAAACTAAAAAAAAATTAAAAAAATAAAAAAACATTAATTATTGTAAGAAGTGCAAACTTCATACTCTAATTAAAAATAATAGTGATAATAATATATAAAAAATGAAAAAAATGCTAACCCACTTTTTCCCCTAGCTTTGTTCACAATCACCTCATAGAAATCGTGTTGCTGAAAATAGACGATAGTTATTTATTAGTATCATCTTAATTTTTTTTAATTTGGATTAATTTTTTTAAAATGATGAATGTTACATTATTACATACATGTGGAATAATGAGATCCTCTTTCACATATGAAAGATTTTCAACTGAAGCTATTCATATTTCTCTAAATTCAAATGCAAGTTATTGCCAAACAGCCTGTAAAAACTCGCTAATTGTATCCCCTTTTCTAACCTAAAAAACACAAGGATGGGGTAAAATGGTAATTTAGCCATATTTAGAACATAAGAAATTAAGAATTACCTGCATGACTTTTCGATGTCCTACACCATCCCAGTAACTATAAGTGATTTCAAGAGCCTCATCTGTAATGTAATTAGCATATGATTTAGAACTTAAAGGACATAGTTTTTTTTAAATTAATAAAATATAAGATAAAGTTTATGATATTAAATTACTTTTTCACGTTCAGCTTGCTCCTCTGCCTCCCTCTCACTAAAGAAGTATGCTTCACACTATGATGGTGACAATTACTCAGCAAAAAATATAAGATTTATAAATGTTTTTATTTTATTATTTGAGAGTTTTCAATCAAACCTATCAGGCGAAAAGGTAGTTTCTACTGACGGATCTTTGCCAAAGCCTCTACAACCAAACGTATTTGATTCTTGTTTTTCTGTATATACATAAGAACATTAATTTAAGTTAATGAGTATTAAAAAGAGAAGTATTTGATTAAATGAACTTAAAATAATGAAAAATAAACTAAACATATGCTTACTATCCTCCCCGTCTTCTTCTTCTTTTCTTCCTCGTTTTCAATATCTTCAGAAAAAGATAGCTATGGGTTAGCTATGATTTTCCGCTTTTTTTGTTTTTGTAATTGAAGCTCCTCTTCCCTAAAGTAATACAAAAATATAAAATTAGCAATTAAGAATGAATATTAACTATAAACATGAAAATATACAAATGTTAATGACTTAATGTTACTCACTCTTATTGTAGCTTTTAAAGTTTCTTTTTTTCTTCTTCTTCAATCTTGAGTCGAATGTTAACCCTCTGTATACAAGTATAGTTAAGTGAAATTCAAAGTTGTTTTTGTAAGTAGTAAGTAGAGTGAAAGGAGAAAGAATGTTTGAATCGGTGACTAACCTTTTCAACATATTGCTCCCTTATGACAGGCCCAACTGTTTCCTTCTTGAAAGCAGTCTCAAGAATCTGATCAGATTTATAATGTCAACCAAATTAAAATTAACCCCCAAAACACTCGAGAATAGATCGATGACACTGATAAAGATATGATGGGACCTTAATACATTACAGAACCTCGGGTAACTGACCGATAAGAGTAAAATCATGAACGTCAAATTTACACTTTACAAGCTTATGCTACCCTTAGCTAGGGTAAATTGCACTCCATTGAATTAGTTCATAGAAATCAAGTATGGATATACAACAATTGATTGCAAGATGCACATGTAGATGCATGGATATACAACAATTGATTGCAAGATGCACATGTAGATGCATCGATATACAACAAATTGGATGTATGTGTTGATTCATGGCCATATGGCCCAAATCTACTTCATAGCCTTTAAGCTAGTGTTCAGTACATTCTTTAAGAATCAAATTCTGATACCTTTGTATACGGTCCTTTAACATACATCTTTCCCAGCCAAGTTCTTTCAAATACGATGCATACTTGACAATCGATTCAATGAATTCACCCACCGACCTATACATCATTAAAAGAACAGTAAAAATCGCAAACCCAAAATCTTGAAATTTCATAGACCCATATGTATTGATCAAAGCAATAGGAATACAGAATCAAGAAAATCGATAAGAATGGAACATGATTATGTAAAACACATCTACACTGAATGAAAAAGTAGAAAAAAAATTATAAAAAATAAAACGCACTTCAATCGATCTCAATCAGACTCTCTCTAACCATTCACCGATGCCAAAATCGAAACCTTTAATTGGATTCCATATGACCATTCACTTAGAAAAAAAAAAACAAACTTGCATCCAATCGTATAGGAGTTAAATATCCAGACGAACCTTTACTCCTTGTGTAAACTTGCAAAAAAGGTGAAAATGAAGTTGACTGCGTGAGATCTTTGGGTTGAGAAAGATAGAAACCTGGAGAGGTATAGAGAAAGGGAGAGGAAATAGCCAATGGTGGTTGTGGAGGAGAAGCAGCGCCCATAAAAAGCAATAAATGGAGATAGGGATAGAGATGACTAAACCGAAACTGCCCCAAAATCGGCTGCTAAATTGTAGGGAATAAGATTTGGTATTGAATGTAATTGAAATTAATTGAATGGCGGGAAAAAATTGGGTAAGTAGGTGGAGAAAATGACATGTGGCATCTTGCTTTTGTATAAGATGGACACGTGGTTTAAAGGAGGTTTTTATTAAGCATAGATTTAGATTTATTTATTAGAAAGAGAGATTAAGGGAGATTCAAGACCTTGTTTACATGACATTCAATCGTGAATTGTTTAAAATCAAATCACGAATCTTAATTTCCTTTGCGGTGTGTTGTTTTTTTATAGTTTCTTCAATGTTAACTTGTTTAATATTTTATTATTTTAGTTCTAAAAAGGAAAAACATGCATCTTAAAAAGCTCCTTAAAGAAAAAAAGATCATAACGAAGAATCTGCAGACTTCAATTAAAATTTAACGTCGTAAAGGTAAGTGAACATACAACTTATAACTAGGAGTGTGCATATTGCTGTTTAATGTGGTTTTGAACCAAACCAGCATCACATATGCGGTTTGAGTTATTTGGAAACCGCAAACCGCACCACAGACTTTCTAAACCATATTACACGGTGTGGTTTGCTGCAAATGGTTTATGTGGTTTTTCTAAACCATATTACGCGGTGTGGTTTGTTGCAAATGGTTTATGTGGTTTACATGCGTTTTTGCGGTTTGACTAATTGTTTACTTTAACACTACTGTTTATAAACATTCCATTTAACTTTTAGAATTAAAAAATATTATGGACTTTCATATGTAATTTGTTTGTTGTTTGGATTGCAAATTTTATTCTAAAATATATTATTGACTTCCATGTGTAATCGGTTTATTATTTAGATTGCAATTTTCTTTAAATTTATATAATCCTTAATCTTAGTCATGAAAATATTGACAATTATATATTAAGTTTGGACTAGGGGTGTAAGTGAATCGAGCTATTCGAGATCGACTCATTAAAAACTCGACTCGATCTTGAGTTGAACGAGCCCGACCCGAGCTCAAGCTCAACACACGGCTCGTTTATTAAACGAGTACGAGCCCGAGCTTCTGTTACCGAGTTCGATTAGGTTCGCGAGTCTTTTATATATATATATATATATATATATATATATATATATATATATATATATATATATATATATATATATATATATAATAAAATAATATTTTTACTTTATATATTATATTTACTAATAAAGTTAAGCTTTTTTAATATCTTTCAATTGTTCCATTCATTTTTTTTTCCAATTCAAGTTTCACGGCATACTTACACACACAACATCTAGCCAGCTAGGGTTTTTTATCCGGTAGTGAAGTTGCATCAAGGAAAATTTGTTTATTTCTAGTAATTTTTTAATTTAGGAGTTTAACTATTATGTTTTGTAATTTGAACTTTGATTCTTTATGTTCTTATGTTTGGTTATATTTTATATACATTAAAGCAGTGGAAATATGAAATGTATGAATGTATGTTCTGATGTTGGATTATTCACTTGAATGTATGATAAACAGTCAAACGAGCTCACAAAACGTTAAACGAGCTTGAGTCGAGCTTAGGCTCGTATAGGCTGGCATAACAAATAAAACGAGCCCGAGTTAAGCCGAGCTCGAGTATGTTATTTTTCCCACGAGCCGAGCATGAGCTTTTTAACTAGGATCGAAACAAGCTGAACTCAAGCTCGAGCCCAGACGAATATAAACGAGCTCGAGCTGAGTTTGGTCATGTTCGGGCTCGACTCAGCTCATTTACATCCTTAGTTTAGCCCATAGATAAATAGAGCTTTAGTAATTGGTATATTATATATATATATATATATATATATATATATATATATATATATATATATATATATATATATAATCATTCATTAATTTTATTAATGCGGTGCGGTTTAAACCATGGTTTTGTAATTGTAAACTGCAAACCGCAAACCGTACCACGAATGTTTTAAACCGCGTTATGCGGTGTAGTTTGATGCAGTGCGGACGGTTTATGCACTTTATGGGGTTTCGTGTACACCCCTACTTATAATGATTAATTTCTATATAGTTGAAGTAGATTTAGAATCTATTAATTACAATATTCTTGCAATAATGATTACAAAAAATCTTCAATAAACACGGTTTTTCTTTGTCGATGGGATCATCTATGAAACCAGAACCTTAACACAAAGATTGTAAGCCAAAAAATATTATAGGTAAGTCTCATTGTATAAATTAGGATGTTGAAGGGATTGACTATATCAATGTATTATAATTATTGAAATATAAAGTAAACTATGGAAATTGGTCTATATGATTTGTCATTTATTGGATCACGTCTCTCAAAGTTTTTTTTTCTTCAAGAGACACCCATATAACATGGTTTAATATTGTTTCTTGTTTCAAAAATAAAATGACTAATTTTAACTTTTGATCTTCATCGTGAACCCTCGCCCATTCCTCCATCTCCCATGTGATCGCATTTAACCCACATGTTCTGAACCTATACATTGATTTTGTAGGAATCGAGTACCAAACATTGATTTTGTAGGAATCGAGTACCAAACCAGTATCTACTATATTATTCCGATTCTATTATATATTTTGTGTGTGTAACATCCTTTTGGGGGTATATAACTTGAGTTTGAGTACAACAAATTCATATGTAATTGATTATGAGATTAAGTTAAGACAGTAAATAACACATAACAAAAAGAATCAACTTAAGCTAAGTTTATATAAGAGTGTTATAAGTGTTTGAAGTTAAGGATAATTATGCACATGTATGGTAAGACAAAATAACAAGTTTAGAAAATATAACTTTTCAAAGTACCCATGTTTAGTGTTATGCAACTTAGGCTATACTTACCTAAATTAGTTGATTCTTGACCTTAACATGTATCCAAGACAAAGAAAACGATGCATGAAGACGAATCAATACAATCCAAGTTTATATGAAAGAATTATGATTGTTCAAAGTTGAGGAAAATTTATGCACATGTTTGGTAAGAAAAAATGACATGTCTGGAAAATTTAACTTTTTAAGTACCAATGGGTATGTTATGTAACTTATGAGTGTTCGAAATTGAGGAACAATTATGTACGATCTGGTACTGTAAATGTTAACGTGGTTCGATTTCATTTTTTTACCCAAACCCGATGGTACCAAAACCGATAGCCCCGAAAACTGAATTTCATGATTTAGTATAACTAAATACCACCCCACATTAACATATACGATACCAGTTTGGTTCAATATTGTCAGTTGTTTTGTTTACCCCTACCCCAATGTGTCTATCCTCCATACTTAACGCCTTCATTGCATCCCACCTCCCATCAACGACTCCCTTCCTCTCCAACTCTTACCCATCGACTCCCATTTATTCTGCTACTAATCATCAGCACACACTAATCCCACCACCCACACTCCAATTTTTGGGAATAGGAAACCTAATCATTTATCTTCGCCCAAAAGTACGATCATTAGTCCATAGAACTCAAACATGTCGATCTTATCATACAATATTTACAAAATATTAAAGTACATGCATATCATATTCTTAACAAGTCCTTCCGATCCATGTCAGAAATCAAATCAAGATCTCTTTAATTTTCTCACCCAATTTCTTGAAACATCTTCTAAGTACCATAAAAAATTATTATTATTTACGTTATGAAATTTGATTGCTTTATGTTTACCTATAAAAATATTGATTTTAGGTTTATAAAACTCATCCTTGGGGTATTTTGACAAACATGATATATACATATTGCTCAACATAGGAAACAATAGAAACACTACAAGAAATTAGAGTATTACCGGCGACAGGCGTCGTCGCTAAAAGTGGGACTTGTCGCCGCTAAAACGTCGACGCTGATGTTTTGTCGCTATTAATCAAACTGTCG